ATATAAAATATATATCGTTTTATGGAACGTAAGGGCAAACACTGTAGGTGAGCAGCTATTTCGAGCTCTGTAATGCTGGTATCCTTAGCATTATTTATTTAACCTTTTTTAATTGAATAGTGACTGTCAATTTGGTTGTCAGTTTAACTGTTTTCCCATCTCCACTTTCACACGTCGTACGAATCTGTCACAGCTCAGGTGAGCGGTAGTGCCTCTGGAATTTATAACACACTACTGCAGTGTAGAGCTGCAGCTAACGATTATTTTCAAAATCGATTAGTTAGCCGATTATTAAGTTCGATTAATCGGTTAATCGGATAAACACTTAAAAAAAAAAAAATGGCTCCATTGATGGACTACTAGTTTGTATTGAGATTGTAGTCCATCACAGGAGCAAGCTTGGAGCGGTGGAAAAAAATAGTGTGGTGTGCAATATAGTGAAAAGGAAAGTGTAAAATTATACAGCAATGAATGCAGAATGGCACCGGCTATAGAGGACTACAAAGCCCAGCAATAGTACATTATACAGCGCAATGCAGAATATCACAAGCTATAGAGGACTACAACAAATTCCAGCAATAGTACATTATAGCTGGTGGTATTCTGCATTGCGCTGTATAATGTATTATTGCTGGGATTTGTAGTCCTCTATACAGTGCAGAATATCACCAGCTATATAGGAATACAACAAATCCAAGCAATACATTATACATACAGTGTATAATGTATTGCTGGATGTGTATTCCCATGTATAATATACAGCACAATGTACCATCAGCTATAGAGGAATACAAATCCCAGCAATACATTATAGCGCACCATGTGTGGGAAAGTGCAGTCTTCCAGCAACGTGCTTCTGAGATCGGACCTGTCTATCAGCAGCTGTCATCCCCCCACACCTGCTCCTCCTTACTACATCTCCCCGCGTCCCTGTGCCGATCGTGGATGTGGGCGGGCGGTGAGTGTGAGGCGGGGAGGAGGTGCGGCGTGAAGAGCGTGGATGTGGGCGGGTCTGGCAGCGGCGAGCGTGAGGCGGGGAAGAGGTGCGGCGCGCAGCGTGTTTGGAGCCGTGAACAGGGCCAACTGATCAGAAGACGATTAATCGATTATTGAAAAAGTTGACAACTTTTTCAATAATCGATTATAATCGATTATGTCGATTAGCTGTTGCAGCCCTACTGCAGTGTGCAGTTGTTTTAGCTCCAATGTCCAGCTGCGGCTGAAGAGTGTGGCAGGGCTTACTCCCTCCCCACTCTGCTGTATGCAGTAATTTTAGCTCCGAGGTTCGGCCATGGCCTTAGATTCTGACTGAACTTAGTCCCTCACCACTTTCCTGTCACTTCGCAGAGAGCACCAGCTACACTGACAAATGATTGGAAGAATTTCACTCTTGCGGTCATGTGATTGGCTCCAGTGTATATTGGGAGGAGTCTCACCCAGTGGAGGGAGGTATAACATCTACGGATTGGCAGAGCTACAAGTTAAACCGATTGGTGGAGGTCAGGTTGGTGATTGGCTGTAAACATGTCTCATATGATTGGCCAATTAGATAGTTTTAAGGCATGAGGAAAGTGGCGATGGACAGGCTCTGATAAAGGGAGCGTGGACCCAAAAAGGCATTAAGCAAGAGGAGGCTAGGAGGATGGAGAGGACTACATGCCATTGCCGGTCTCATCCCTCTCTCTCCAGCAGCCTCATGTGCAGAGTTACATCTTATCCCCTATCCCTGCACTCTTCCATTGCGAGTAGGCTTTTATTGTTCTTATACATTAATTTATAATAAAGGTTAATGCACAGGAGTTATTTACCAAATGAGATATTTCTTCCAAAACGAGGCATTTATCTCACAATTTAGACTTCGTTTTTTCTATTTTTATATATGTCATTTTTCCAAAATAAAAAAAAGGCACATAAGTGCAGTCATTTGCACCTAAAACATTAAAAACCAGCCAAGGTGTAAAAAACGCTTTTTATTTGGTCCCATTCCTGCCTTCAGGATAGCATTCTTCTCCTAGCTATCCTCATTTGGATGAACTTCTATTGCAGTAATGTGTTCTCAAAGACTTCCATTGCCTCTAATTGGATTTTTTGAACACTTTCATTCTGCCACAACACGACAGACTGCAAATACCAACTGCCTCAGCCAGGTGAAAATTACCGCATACTAGAGGTGCATTGAAATGGCATTTTCAGAGCGAAACTGTAACTAAGAAAATTTGTCAGGCCGAAACAAAAAAAAAGTTCTAACTTTAAAAAAAAAAATGTTTTAAAGATTTTAATAATTTTTTTCACTATACGGTCGGGGGCATTGGGAAAATATCAGGGGTCTAAACATACCCCTGATATTTCCCTTTTGAAATAGAAAGAGAGATTGGGGACACAGATACAAAGTTTTCAATCTCTTTTTCTGCAGCACCTGCCATGCAGGAGACCATCAGAGATGCTTTCAGTAGACCATCACAGCTAAAATATAAAGCTCCAGTCATATGCTCCACATGCTCTTTTAGCAAATGATCTACTGCTGCAGTGGAGAGACCTCTATTAACCCTTTCGCTGCCAATCCCTCTGGTACGCTTTACACCTCAGCTGGCCACACCATTTTTGCAATTTTTCCCATTGTTTTTATTTTCAACGGCTGCGTTGCTAGGGTTTGTAAAAGACCCCCCAAACCATATATTTTCTAAAAGCTCAGGCCTGGTAGAATAAAAAGAGGGTGCTACTAAATTTGTAGGCCCTGCAATAATTGCGCAAATGTTTATCAAATCAATATTAAAAAAAAAAAATTCAGAATAAAGCTAAAAGATTAAAAAAAAACTGTATTAAGTTAAATAACAAAATATTTGACAATTTTAAATTGCGCCGAAACAGTAAAAAAACTGAAGAAACGCAGAACTGTAAATAAGGGACTTATGTTAAAAATTGTTTTTTTGCGCTGTTTGTGTTGTGATAAAATGATAAAGGGGTACATTTAATTGCAACACAGGTATCACAACACACGGCAATGCGTCACAATGCTTTGCCACAGTTAAATTAATGTTATTTTTAAAGTTAAAAAAAAAATCAAGCACTGCGATGCGTTCTAACAATGTGCATGGCGTACACCACAATATGGTGCACGTGTATGTTATGTGTGTGTGGGGAAGGGGGGGTTGTGTTTTAATTTTTTTGTAAAGCACTGCGCAAACTGTTGGCGCTATATAAATACTATGTAATAATAATAATAATTTATTTATTATTTTTTTACAAAATGTATTTGTTTTAAAAATTTCTTTTACTCTTGGGGGGGCTTTGGAGGAACATTTCCCTTTTGAAATAGAAAAAAAAATTGAGGACACAGAGTCCTCAATTTCTTTTTCTGCAGCCTCTGTTCTCAATGAATAGACAGCACTTAGTACAGAGGCTTCCCATTCATTCAGAAACTGTTGATAGTAAAAAAGCCTCTGTAGTGAGTGCTTCTCCCCATTGAAAAAGTAATGAATGAACAGGAAGTGATGTAAAGCACTTCCTGCTCATTCATAACTGGGGACAAATAGTACTATGTGTCCCCAGTTATTTACACACATTGGAGTGATCAGATGCCCACTCCAGTGTTTGCTCTGCACAGAGGATCGGTAAATATCACAGATATTTACCGATCCTCCGCTTAGCCACATACACAGCCGTTATCATCCTGAAACTGACAGGATTACAGCGGCTCAACTCTCCTCCACGCTGGGCTGCTCTCATGCCACTCGATCATCGTGATTGAATGCCTCGCTCCTCTGCCCCCGCCATTTCTAGTCGGATCCCCGCTGCTTCAGCCCATACAAGCTGGGGAGTGCAGCGGGGATCCATGGAGACACAGATCCCTGCCTGGAGCGGCTCCAGGCAGGGGAAGAGGCTGAAGATGACGTGCCGGAGAGGAGCCTGGAATTTTGGTTAATAGCTGTCATCAGCGGCTATTAATTTAAAGAGGACCTTTGGGGGAACCATTCCAATAAAAGTTCATGGTCGCTGAAAGCTAAATGGCTTACTGATGTGGCAGGGTAGGAACATTTTTGTTCCGCCACAAGACTTACGTTAGTGGTAGGGAAAGGGTTAAAGGGTTTAGACAATTCTGCATTGGTTTGACAAATTAAAGTCACGGCCAGGACAGGGCAAAGGTCAAGGCCCCCTCCAGCGAGATTGGAAGTTTCCAACTGCTCATCGGTAGAGTCCTTGAATACAAAAACATCCATGATTAGCAAAGTCGCCCTATTAAGGTGGGCCACCGATGGATCTACAGCAAGGGTAGAAAAAATCCTTCTTAAACAGGAACAAGTTTAGTAAGCATTGGGAGGGAGGGTGTCAAAGGCATGTTGTGTTTCCAATCCCCATAAAGGAAGATCTTGAGTAGCGGGAGCAATGGGAAGGTCTTTGCAGCTTTAGGGTCTCTAAAATATCCAAGACTGGAGACACTAGGTGATCCTCTAGTTTGAGAGTGGTGCACAACAAATCAACAACTCTGAAATAATGGCAGAATACTATGACTCCTCAAGTATAATCTCATAGGGTAAAGATTAGAGCTTATAGCCTCTGAATTCAGAGCTGACCAGGGATGGGATGAATTGTGCCAGTTTTATTATAGTAGAGACCCCAGCTGACAAGGCAAGGGACTTGACCACATTCAGTGGGGGCTAGGGAGGACTCAGCGGATAACAGGATTCCATGTTGCAGGCATCAGCACCTTCAGAAAGCAAGGAACAAGCAGTCCCAAAACTGTTCAAGGAGTGTAAGCTTGGGTCAACTGTTGCAGTTAGACTGTCCCCTCTGTGTCTAGAAACAAACATGTTACAACCACATGGTAAGGCAACTTAACCTTAGGGTAAAAGGCAAGACCTCAAGTACTCATGAAACCCAGACAGCTGGCAGCAAGTAAGAGTTGTATGACCTAAGGTGACCAGTTGCTGTAAGCGGGCAGCAGGAACAAACCGAAACTTGGAGTTGCAGGTGGCTTATTTGCAAGCAGCAGAAGAAACGGGGAGATGCTTCCTCAATGCTGTATGATGGGAAATAGAGCAGAGCACACACAGCACTCTACCCAGCGCATGACATTAGCGCTCAGTTTCACAGCGTTAAGTCCTTCTGTGCTTAAAACTGATGGGAAATGGGGAACATAAAGGCGCCCAGAAACCTATGCAGATAGCTTCCTGAGAGGCCAAGTGACGGAGTGCGGCTTCAAAGATTGGGCAAGCACAGAGGCAATGTCAGCGGCTCTTTTCACTTCTGTATTTGGGGAACCCCCCCCAATTTATATGTTTGTTATGGGTTGCCCTTCATCATAAAAAAAAAATCGTTGTTTCATTGAAGAATGATTATACATAGGACAGCTTCTATTGCTTGTGTAGCGTACTGGAAGTGTGGAGATCAGGAACAAACTGAGGGACAAGACTGAGAAACACTACATTAACATACAATGTCTTGTAATCAAAATTAACTATGGCAAACACAGCTTTTCTGCCTCCTAATAAACATTGAATAGCAAGTGACAACCAAATAGAAGTTTTTAGTCCTGGTTTTCAGAAAAGAGCATTTGTAAATGTAAGCTGCAATGTTTAATTATTTTTTATATTGCTATATGAATGGGAACACGTAGCGAATACTAAGTAGGTGCTATCCCAGTTTGGCTGCAAACGTGGAAATACACTTTATGTGGAACCTAGTGCTCCGCACTTTATGTGGAGCCTAGTTACATTGGATAGCTACAATAGTAAACGCCAGCTCTAGCAGCAATGTAGAGAAGAATCTTGATAAGGAAAAATGAAGAAAAAGTGGCAGAAAAAAATAGGTTAGTCCTTTAACAGCAGAGCTGAAAAAAAGACATATATCCTCCTAGTACACTGGCAAATAACAAGGTATGCTGGTAGTAAGAGGGATTCTTTTTTGCTTATGAGTGGCCAGTCCTTCTGTGGGCAGCAGTATAACCCCAAAGGTGAAAGACTTCCTGCATCCATCAATGGACGACAAAAAAACAATACAAAAAAAAATATTTTATGTTTACATTTTAAATCAGAAAAGGATGACCCCAACTGGTTGTCATGATAGATTACACACACACAAACACTGTATACAAACGTATCTACCGTGCATTGTGGTGTTCATATACTATACCTTAAAGATGCCCGCCAGCGATATTTTATTCAAGTCTTTAATATCATTAGGAAGTCTGACTTGCGTTGTCATTAGAAGAAAGCAGGACTAGAAAATTAAACAAAGTATTAAATTAGCAATGTGCAATATAGACATTAATATTAGACGTTGTAGGTTAAAGTAATTCGCAAGAGATACTGCAACTAAAAAAGGGACCTTGAAGTAAAAAGCAAGATCAGTTTAATACATCAGGGCCCACAACTCATAATCAATTACCACACTAAAATAAAAAACAAATCCAGAGTGGGAATCTTCTAGGTAAAGGTGATGTCACAATACCTTGTAGATCCCAATCTCCTGACAAGATACTCCTGCACTTTGTAGTCTTCTTGTGAGATCAGGGGTACTTAATATTCTCTGGAATCTTGCCAAAAGGATTGGGACAACACCCTCTGCTCTGCAGGAGCCAGAGGTAATTAACGTTTTACCCGGCACTAAAGTATTAGGAAGAGCTTGCTTTTTAGTGTTATGATGGAATTACAGGTTGTTTAGCATGATAAACAAATTATAGTAAAGAATAAAAAACATAGAAGCATATGCTTTATAATTTCATCTCATCTGATTACTGGTATAAGCACTAACAACTTATTAATACGATGTCTCTGCCCTCCACTTAATGGAAGAAGGACAGTAAGAAACCACCACAGTATTCTCCCAATTTTATATAGGCATGAAGTCTATAACATGTACAATCAAAAGTAATCTGTTTCATCTCCATATGACTACTAGAATACTACCACAAAAAACAAACATGCTGGGAGAGGTTTTGTATGGGTTAGCCCACATTTTTTTGGTTTACCAGTGTCCAATCCTACTGTAGGCAGCTGTATAACCCGACACTCTCTGAATTCCTAGGATTCTCAGTGGACGAATAAGAAAAGCTCATTTAAAAACTTTAAGAAGCCTTAAAAAAAAGCCTTACCTTATACATGTTTTCTTTCACAAGTTTAGCAATTAGCATTTTCCAGACATCCCTGCCAAATCCTTCCCTCAAGATAGCATTATATGCATCTCTAAAACCAACGTGATCTCCACCATCTGTTAAAAAATATAAAAAGAGTTAATAAGACAGGTTTTTTCTCATCTATAAAAATAGTTTCTTGGAGTAGATTACAGGACACCTATTTATCCACTGGGTTATGCAGCTACCTTCAGGCGATTGGACAGTGGAAAAGAAAGCAGAGCTGCTTGACAGCCCTAAATAGTTTTGTAGCAAGCAGTACAGAGTGTATCACAGAATACAAAGTCGAGGGTCCTGTGATGTACTCCCAGAAACAGATTTTACAGGTAAGACAAAAATACTGAATGGTATTCGGTGTATGGCACTGCAATCCCAACAATACTACCTTAATAATAAAGCACTTGAGCACTTTTTTAAACACAACACAAATACTGGTTTCTTGATTGTACATCACAGGACATAGACAGATAAATTCTTTAACCACTAGCACATTCCAAATCAGTCCAACAAAGGAGCGAGCAACATAGCAACAACTGCTAACAGGCCGAGATTCAAAAACAAGGAACAATACTAGAAACAGAGGCATGTTAAAATTCAAAGGGCTGCCGAAGGACAATCCAACAAAACAATTGCATCCGTAGAGGTCTGAATGTCCACCTTGCAAAATTTGACAAAGTGTACACAGGGGACCAGGTAGCAGCCTGAGCAGGTACAAATTTGGGAAAAGCCTGATGCTGAAAGACCCATGAACCACTAAAATTTCTGGTAGTCGGAAATGGAGGCAATTTCCTCTTCAGTTCGTAGGTCTGAATGAGGATTCAACAAAGACCTAGCAAATGTAGAGAGGGAGACTGGTTACCCCATATGGAGACCCTTAGGAATGAATGACAAACAGAGTCAGAATTGCTAATGGAAGCTGTTCTGCTGTAAAGTGGTAAACTCTAACCGCCCGAATCCCATCTAAACAGTCGAGGGAAACTTCTAAGAATGTTTCAACACAGCTATTGTGGTAGCCAGGCAGCCGCGTTCTCTAACACACACAATGTACATTAAAGGGTAAGTTAATTTTCCCTGGTAATTTGGGGAAATGGAATTCTCCAAAATCTGGCCCCCTCTTCCCCCCGGTTTTACTTACCTTTTGATGAATGATCCTTTCCCTTTGTGGGGAGGGTGTACTATCTGTACCCCATACTGCCATCCAATGCAGCCCTGCGCCATGGATTTTGAATTTCGCTTGTACCTGACCTCGCTGACCAATGATAAGCGCTTCTTAGCACAGTTAATTACGGTTTTCGTTGAAATTATTTTTTGTATCACAACAAGTAGATTGTCATGAGGGACAAATAGATTGGGCCCCCCGCTTTAGCACTTGGACAAGTCTTTTTTTTTTTTAAATGTTCACACCCCTGCACTTACACTTTCGAAAACTTAGCAATAGCCATAGTTACAATTACAACTATCCCTAAGATTTTGAAGATACTAACATATATAGAAAAGAGTCAGAACTATGGATTAAATTTACTTAGATCTGAAGTAATGAACCCAAAGTCACTCAGCTCAGAACTTGAATCTCATCATTACCTTACATGGGAATCAAATTGACTCCCAGCATCTCACAACAAAACAATATGACTAGAAGGGGTAAATATATGGTGTATATCAGGGGTAGGCAAAGTCTGTCCCTGCAACTGTGGGACAACAACAAATCCCATTAGGCACTGTATTCTGACAGCTACAGGCATGACCTCCATAGGCAGTTTCACAATGGGATTTGTAGTTCACCACAACTGGAGAGCCAGAGTTTGCCTACACCTGCTGTATATAGTCTCTCTCAGATGGGGACGATAAACACAATAAAGATTTAATTTAGCTACATAAGCTAATATACCTCAGTAATGTAGTTTCTGGTTGCTTGCGAGTTACTATTATTAATAGTAGGGATGCACCGATACCAGTTTTTCGGTATCGAATAAGAGTATAGATATTTCTTTTAGGCACTCGCGGATACCAAAAGTCCCATTAAGGAATTACATCCCATGTAATGACTCGACGACCAGCTTCCTGATTAGCCGGAATGCCGTCTACATGCTCCCTCGTCACCAGGCGGTGGGTAAAGACTCGCTTCCTGACTGGTCAGCTTCCTGATCAATCAGGAACCGGGCAGCAAGTGATTACATTGCACCTGGCTTCCTGATTGGCTGGGAGGTCGGCTCCATGCTACCTCGTCATGAGGTGGCGAGGGAACACAGAGCCAGCTTTCTGGCCAATCAGGGAGCCGGGGGGCGGGTAATGACTCGCTGCCTGGCTTCCTGATTTGCCAGCTTCCCGACCAATCATGTAGCTGGGTGGCGAGTCATTACCCGCCACCCGGCTTCCTGATTGGCCAGGAAGCCAGCTCCATGCTCCCTGGTGATGAAGCAGCATGGAGCCAGTTTCTCGTCCAATCAGGAAGTGGAGTGCCGTGTAATGACTCGCCGTCTGGCTTTCTAATGCTGAAAGTTTCGGGATAGGCATCGGGAGCATTTGGGCAAGTATGAGTACTTGCCCAAATACTCGGTATTGGTGCATACCCACAAAATAGGTTTAACTAATGCCATTCCCCATACTGTACCATACCATAACATAAACTCGGTATTGACTTCATATTAGCATTGAAGTGCAGTAATCAAAAGAAAATTAAGACAAATAGACACACTGAAAACAAATTAAGACAAATAGGCACACAATAGTTTCCAGGATAATACATGCCGCAGATCAGTGAGTACACAGGGGATTTTTTTTTCTGGTTAGATGAGAGTTCTGGTTAGTTGAATGTTGGATAACAGAGAGATTACTGTATTTCAGTTCCTTTTCACTGAAAAGTCCAACAAATGAGCTTTAAACTTTCCAATCCTGTACCCTTAAATTTATTTGGGACTCCAGGGCATGCAGGTTTCCCAAAGCAAACACAGCCTGAGTAGAAAAGTTAGCCCCTGCCAGCATGCTGCAGGAAAGGAACTTGGCTCTCTGTGTAGAAGCAGTTGTCTTTTTGCAGAGGCCTGACACACCCTCTGATGAGTTATAGTTAGAGCTCACCAGTTAGCAGGGAGCATGAGCTTTGCTGATTGCAGCGCTATAGGTCTGATTAATTCAGAGGCACGTTGGACCTCTGCAGAGAAGCTGCTAATTACATATAGAGAGCAGCATTCTAGCAGGGGACAGACTTTTCTTTTTAGGCTTTAAGACTTTGAAACACCTTTTGTTCTGATGTACCTGGAATGTGCTTAACCGATTTCCACCTGTTAATTTAACTGAGCTTTAGATTTCTCTGTTCAACCAATCGTTTGCATTACATATTATAACTGTGATGCAAGCTAAGGAACTTATGATTCATTACACAGTTGGGCTAAAAAAAAAAAAAATATCTTAAAGCTCTCGATAACCTACAGGCAGTAAAGCATGTATGATAGGGGAAATCTTCCCGATTACCAAAGGCAATCATGTAACTTTCGGGATCAACATTGTATTATAATATTGCCTACAAAACTTAGTAGCCATTTATATTTCATGTACTGAGAAAAACACCCATATCCAGCCTAAATCTGATCACCTTTAGATGGATAAGCGTTGACACTTTAGTAGCCTGGAAAATATCAACAATATAAAACAGAGTTCAGAATCTTTATTTAAAAATGTTGTTGGTGTTCTTAGCATTATGTTCTCATAATTTACTGTGCTCAACTATTCACAGTGCAAAAACAGACATACAATCCAAGGTGAAAGGTAAATGCAATACCTTCAAAAGTCTTGAAGATGCCATGCAGAAACTCGGCTACATCTCTGGATTCATCACTGCCTTGAAGGTTCATAAGGCCATTCATAAACATAACCAAGGCAACATGTGTATTACCTAACATCAGCAAACAATGCCCAGCACGGAAATAGGCCTGTAATGGTAACAGTAGTTATCCACATTATCACAAAAATGTGTAGACCCACATATAAAATAAACATAAGCAAAACCCCCTTAGTATACATGAGCAAAAGTAATAGTGAGTCATATCCCAAAAAATAAAAATCCTCCCCCCACATCAGCTACCTAGATGGAAAAGAAAAATATCAACAAAAAATGTCCTGTAAAAGAAGAGGCGTTCTTCACTTTGCAACTGATGTATGCTGTCCCAAAAATCTGTCATGACGGGGGACTTTCCAAAGACATGTCGTACATGTCATGGCAGTCAAGAAATAAAAAAAAAAGAAGCAGCAGCTCACACCTAAGGGCCCAGTGACATTGTATATATATATATATATATATATATATATACACACATACACACAGACACTTTATTGAAATGTCATAAAGTGGCATTTTATTTATTGTATGTCATACCTGAGCAGCCCACGGGCATCCTGTAAAGCACTGTAGTAGCCACAGCTGCTACAGTGATGACAGCGATTTTACGGGTCCTGGTAATGTTCTGAGAGAAATCCCCTAAGCTCTGAAAAAATACAGGGGGTTGCTCACTCACTGTAGCGGCCATTCTGAATATTTTTATCAATGAATACAAGGTATGTTCTGATTGGACTCTGGCAGGGGGGGAATGTGGGGGGTTTGGGTGGTGAGAGGGATGACATTGGTCCCCCCCTCACCCAATCAGAGAATACCTTGTATTAATCGTTAACAGCACTAGACCTTCTCTAACTGGCTGCAAAGGGAGCAACCCCGTGTTTTTCAGAGCAGGACCTGGAAGATCACTGTCAACACTGTAGAAGCTCCGGCTACTACAATGCTTTACAGGATCCCAGTGGGCCGCTCAGATATGATATATGCATAATTACATTGGACCCAGCAGGACCAGATTAAGTATAGATAATAGGTTACACCTGGTGCTTAGCTTAAAGGTGCCCATACACCTTACGATTATCGGACGAAACTTTTCGTCCGATGATCGAACCGTCGTACGATTATCGTACGACGGCCCCATCCTGCCCCGATTATCGAAAGATTAAATCAGCGGTAGTTAAAAAAAACCACCTGGACGACTTGCGGTAATTGACCGCAATTATTTTCGTTTGCGCATGCGCAGTGTTAATCGTACGACTTTTGACGGACGGAAACACCACCAACCATGCGAACATCGTACGATCTAGCAAAGTTTTCAAACATGCTTGACCGTCAAAAGTCGTACGATTGTACAGTACTATCGGTCGGGCACTGCTATGCACACATACGATTATCGGACGAAAAGTCGAAAATCGTCCGATAATCGTAAGGTGTATGGGCACCTTTAGGCTGGTTGTACTGCCTGAGCATTTTACAATTCTTTTGACAATCCATAACAAGAAAATCAGGAAAACTTACCTTAGCAAAGTGAGGAATAAACGTAAAGCTCTGTGTTGCAGATAAATATGCATCTTCCCATTTTCCAAGCTTGAACAAGGCATTAGCACGATTATTCCACAGTATTGCCACTTCTTTACTGTAATCACTGAAAGAATCAAATTTATTAAAAGTATATTTTATGGATCAGTCCATTGCTGACTGGATCCTATACCCACATCTCCAATATATCTGAAATATGTGGGAGCAACACACATGGAAAAAAAATGGGAGCAACACACATGGAGTCTACTTAGAACCAATTAACCACTTGCTGACCGGGGTGTTAAAACCCCCTTCCTTTCCAGGCCATTTTTTAGTATTCAGCGCGTGGTACTTTGACTGACATTTATTCCGTCATGCAACGCTGTACTGAAATCAGTTTATACCATTTTTTGGGGACAGATAGAGCTTTCTTTTGGTGGTATTTAATCAGCACTGGGGGGTTTTATTTTTTTACTATAGTAAGGAAAATTTACAGAAAATAAAAAAAAAAAAAAACTGTTTTCCCTATATTCAATTATAAAACAACTAATATTACCAACTTTTTTGGTAAAATATAAAAGATGGGGGTCACGTTGGGTAAATAGACACCAAACATGTCAAGCCTTAAAATTGTGCACCCCCGCGAAACCTCATAAAACTAGAAAACCCAAAATTGGCCATAGGCAACACTTTAAAAGCTTTTACCACTCATCAGGTTAGTGTTATCAGTGATTGATGGCCCTAAAATTATTGTAACATGTGTTGTCGTTTTCACGCATTGGTGCACTTGTGCATAAACGTGGGGGTGGGGGACTTTAAGTTTCTGGTTTCTTTTTTTTTTTTACATTTTTTTATATGTTATATTATTTTTTTCTAACTTTCTTTACACTTAATGTTATTGCTATAACAGGGGGCTAACAATCCCCCTATGTGATAGCATAGGCACGCTGACAGGTCCTCTTTATGGAGACATTAGGGGTCTCCAAGACCCCTAAATGTCACCTGGGGACTCCCAAAGTAGCTGATGAAGCAGAGATTTGCTTCACCAGCTTCTTCTCTGGCTATAGCAGCCAGACAAATGACAGATGAATGCCGAAGTGATCACTTCTGCATTCAGACGTCGGAGGGAGATCAGCAAGGAGGAAGATGCTGAACTCCCTCCCATCTTCCTCCTGACACCCACCCGAGCCGCAGAGGACAGTGGAGCCTGGGATTGAAGGTGAGGGTGCAGGAGGGGAGGCAGCACTGCAGGAGGTGCAGGGCAGCATGTACATGCAATCAGACAGCTATAGAGCCGCCGATCGCTTGTATCTGTAACAGCCGGTAACGGCTGTTTGCATTAGACAGTTTTTTTCAGCCCTTTGTACAGCGACCCGACAATGGGAGACTGCCGTCCGGCCGTTTTTTTACAACTGCAATTTTAAAATGCAAGCAGTTAAAGAGCACCAGGAGTTATGAAGTAAGCAGTGTAATGCAGTGAAAAAGGACAGAAGGGTAAATTTGTGCTTGTCACCAAACTCATCACGTGAGTGAAATGTAATGGTACAGATAAAGTATTTACTTATTCTTAGGAGATGGGTTTACCAAGGAAGGCAGGGCTTACAGTGCAACTCCAGCCAATATTTTCTTACTTTTAAATAGAGTGGAAAAGGTTAAAAGTAGGGATGCACAGATACCGAATATTTGGGCGAGTACTCGTACTCGCCCAAATGATCCGATGCCAAGCCCGATACTTCCTGTATCAGGTAGCCAGGCAGCGCGTCGTTACACGCTGCCCGGTTTCCTGATTGGCCAGGAAGCGGCTCCATGCTCTCTCGTCACTTGTGATGAGAGAGCATGAAGCCAGCTTCCCAGCGAATCAGGAAGCCGGGCAGCGTGTAATGATGCACTGCCCGGCTTCCTGATTGTTTGGGAAGCTGGCCAATCAGGAAGCCGGGCGCTGTTTAATGATGCGCCCGGTATTCTGATTTGCCGGGAAGCCAGCTTCATGCTCCCTCGTCATCTCATGACGAGGGAGCATGGAGCCGGCCTCCCAGCCAATCAGGAACGCTGTGTCATTACACGGCGCCCGGCTGTCATTAATTTGGCCAGCAAGCCGACTCCATGCTTTCGCGTAAATAAAAATAGTGATTAGAAGCATGGGACGGCTTTCTTGTTAATCAGGAAGCCAGGTGGCGAGTCATTACACGCCACCTGGCTTCCTGAATGGGACTTCCGGTACTCGGTAATTGGTATCAGCGAGTACCGAAAAAAAATATTGGTACTCCTACTGGGTACCAAAATACCGGTATTGGTGCATCCCTAGTTAAAAGCACTGTTAGGTTTGTATTAGTATCTGTTTGTACTAGTGTCTACATGTCCCCATTCAAAAGTTCCTAACTTCCTGTTCTATTGACAGAAAGTAAAGATAAACTCCCCATGGACACAAATAAAAACTAGATATAGGTTGTGTAACAGGGTGCCTGTAATACCTGCCAGGTTGGCAGGAAAAGTGATTGACGGAAGATACATTCCTCCACGGATTCTCAGATTTATCATCTAGGGCAGTGGTGGCAAACCAGCTGTTCCAAAACTACAAATCCCAACATGCATCTGCCTCTGGCAGTTATGTCTGTGGCTGTCAGAGCCTTGCAATGCCTCATGGGACTTGTAGTTCCAAAACAGCTGGAGTGCCAAGGTTCCCCACCACTGATCTAGGGTAATGCCAGCAGAGATCTGGAGGTAAAGAAAAATAGCTCTTTACCTTGTATTGGTAAAATAAGTTCTGGGGCTGGTTTTACTAGGAGTCTGATAGAGCTCTGGATGGGACAGACTCCTAATTCCGTGGACCGTAGTTTGGTGAGGACTGCACAGGTCACCAGATCGTAGAAGCGATCTGGCGGCAGCTGAGCCGCCACAATCGCTTCTACTGTAAAGCCAGCTGCCAGCTCTACAAAACAGAACAGACTCCTGGCGGGAGACTGTTTAACCCCTTCAGACTTCATGACGGGATTATCCCGTCATGGGTTGTGAAGGGGTTAGAGTGGCGGTATAAAGAACTAAACTGAATCTGATGCAAGTGTCGGTAAAGCTCCCGAACTAGCGAGAGGACTTTGGTGTGAACAAGCCCTTAAAATCCATAAATCCCCTGTGAAGTCATCCGAGATTATAGTATCAAAATATCACAGGTCAACAATGGAGCAGTTAGCTTATACATATTTAAACAAGGACACCAAATGAAATTATAACTGACACACTTACCCAAACGGCAATATATGCGACATAGCACCGAGGGCATGTTGATACTTCTCAAGTGCTTGTATGTAATGACCAGTTTTAAAAAACTCATTTCCTTTAGCTTTCAACTCATTTGCAGAAAATAAATACTCCTGCCTGCAACAAAAGAAAAATACACTTAAAGGGAATGGATTTGATTCATCTTCTTTATTATTTCCAGTGTTAAAAAACAAATAAGTTTTATTATATCACATGCAATTTCTTACAATGCAATTGTAGAACCTCCTTTAGATACAGTATATCAACAGCTTTGTGGTGTTTACTGATTGAAAACTTTAATGGAATGGTTAGGTAGGCCATCGCAAATTACCTAGTTTTAATACATTTAAATGTACAATTTGACTGTACACATCACATTTACAAGGGTGGGGAAATCCTATCGCCCAGGAAATGCAGTTCCAGGCACCTGGCTGGTGTTTTTTACCCCTACATTAAGCCCTGCTGCAGGCATGCAGGGTTAAATGTAGAGCGGGGCAGTCGCCACTCGTTTTGTACAAGTGGTCTGGGTGGCTGTACAGCCACCCACATCACTTGTAGCATTCTGCTCGTCGTCTCGCCCGCCAGCCACCCACCCTCCACGGTCCGTCGCCCCCACCGTTAGCCCCTGTGTGATAGCATTAAAGTTAAGTGAAAAAAAGTTACAAAAAATAAACTAAATAAAAAAACATTAAAAAGTGATAAAAAGTAAGAAAAAATATATAAATTACAAAAAATGAAAACCAACCTTGCTGCCCCCGCCATCTGCATGTGAATAGACGCACACATAGGGCATTGTGTGTGTGAATGCTGGTATTGTGGTAGCCAGGCAGCAGCTCTCTCTAACACACATAATGTGCATTAAAGGGTAAGTTCACTTTCCCCTAGTAATAAGAAAATATGGAATTACTCGCTCAAATCTGGCCCCCTCTCCCCCTTACTGCTCTAGTTACCTTCCGGGGAACGGTCCTTCCCCTCCACCGGTACGGGTGTACTATCTGTACTGCCGTCCAGCACAACCCTACGCTTTGGATTATGAAAGTTGCAAGCACTCATTGGTCAGTGCTGTCAGGTGACAGCACTGACCAATGAGAAGCACAGTTAAATACGGTTTTGTTTAAAATCATTTTTTGTATCACGACAAGTAGGCTGTCATGAGGGACAAGTAGATTTGGCCCCCGCTTTAGTCCTTGGACAAATTGTTTTTAAAAAAATATTTCCACACTCCTGCATTTAGATCTACAAGGGCATTGATTAACGTGTTGTCAAGCATTTCCTCACATTATGTAGTTTTAGTAAATCTGAAGGCAATTGTACAGATATTTTTACAATCAGACTGTAACATGTTAGGCCAGCTTAAGAGTGACTGTAAAAAAATTATAACATGTATTGCCAGCTAAAGAGGGGAGACTCGCATTTGCACCCCCATAGAACCAACTTTAAAGTTTGGTTCTGCTCACAGACAAGTGCATCTTGCCTTCCATCTGTTTTTGAAAACAAAAAGAATACTCCTACTTCACTAAACTCATAGAGATTTTATGAATGTACCGCACATATGACATCTTCATTTCTTAAAGAACCAGCCAAAGCAATATTACCTACCCATTGTGGCCGTTTATGTTGTTCATTGCAGCTGGTCTAGTCTAGATGACAAAAAGAAAATAACAGCTTGAAAAAGAAGTAAATATTTTTTTAGAAGAAGTCTTTTTCTTTTTTTAACAATGAAATTAAGAGCAAGATTTTAACAGCCATGCCATGAATGCAAGTCTACAGAAGGTTTCTGTAATTGTGACAAAACCAAAGAGAGGTGGGGGGTAACTGATAGACCATAAGTACAATATAAATACAATGTAACTACATTCCAGCAGGTGTAGGGTTTGTTCACACCAATTGTGGTGCGTTACAGTTACAATTGTAGCTGCGCGATCGGACATGTTAACTTTTGAGGTTTTCTTTACTTGTCAATGGAGCTGGTTCTTAAAAACAAAACAAAAATCCTGCTGGCACTGTTTGGACAAACTGACTCCTAAATTCCATATTAATTTGTCCACCCTGGTGTAAAGTGTCTAAACTGCCATTTACATGCAACAACAATTCACCTCCAGGTACCTATAGGTAGATTTTAAACAGCAATCACCTCCGGGTACCTGTAAGTAAATTTGCAACAGAAATCTCCTCCAGGTATCTATAAGTAGATTTGCAACAGCAATCACCTCCAGGTACCTGTAAGTATATTTGCAAATGCAATCACCTCCGGGTACCTGTAAGTTGATTTGCAACAGCAATCACCTCCAGGTACCTGTAAGTAGATTTGCAACAGCAATCACCTCCGGGTACCTGTAAGTAGATTTCCAACAGAAATCTCCTCCAGGTATCTATAAGTAGACTTGCAACAGCAATCACCTCAAGGTACCAACAAGTAGATTTGCAACAGCAATCACCTCCAGGTAACTAAGTAGATTTGAAATAGCAATCACTTTCAGGTACCTATAAGAAGATTTGCAACATCAATCGCCTCCAGGTAACTATAAGTAGATTTGAAACAGTTAGCACCTCTGGGTATCTATAAATTGATTTTCAACAGCAATCACCTCCAGGCACCTATAAGTAGATTTGCAACACCAATCACCTCCAGGTACCTATAAGTAGCTTTAGGTTTATTTTAACAGTTTTCAAAAATAACCACCTCCCTCGCAATCCATTAACAAAGGAGACTTCTTACTCTTATCCAAACTTGACTAGTATGCTGAGGAGCTGCTCACCTCTAAGATGGGGAAATCGGCAGCATAAATGAACACAACAGGTCAAGGCGCCCTCTCTTTGTGAAATACATTTATTGTTAAAGTGTATAAGGGTACCAAAGCCAGGTACTAACAATCCAAAACAAATCATAAACTTTATCTTGTCTACAAACCCCAGCTGGATGACCCCCCAGTGGTTGTAAAGTTGTCGGCCCCAGCTCACAATGCAGTATGAATGCAATGGCTATCAGGCCAGGAACAAGCAGCGATTAAGGACCTGTTCACACCATGGCCGTGTGTTAATCGCACGGTTCCAGTGGAATGGGTGGAGTGAAGCTTCCCTTTAAAATTGAAATCCAGGCAAACAGCTACACCCACCTATCAAATACATAAACTAGAACGCTTTACCTAAGGATTTTTATTTCCGTCCTTTCGGTCCTGGAATTCACACAGCTCTGCCCCACAGCACAGCCCTGGCAAAGCAAAGATGACCCAATTTTTGAAAGGACTTGTGTTTCCTTTCTTTTTGGTTGTTACAGCGTCTATTGAAAGCTGAACTCCAGGCATATAAAAGACTCAAATTCAATAAATGTGTTTCTTTAAATGGAAGCAGTGAAAGTACCTGAGTTTGAAATAACAGCCCCTTGAAGTATCAGGCTAGGGAAGTGAGAAGCAGCACAAGGTGCCAATCAGTTGTGCAGTATAAGTAAAAGCTAAATTTAGCTTGGTATCAGTCTCTTGCAGTACCTGTACAGCAGAGCTCAGACTAGGGAAGTGAGAAGCAGAACAAGGTGCCAATCAGTTGTTCAGTATAAGTACCTACATTTAGCTTGGTATCAGTCTCTTGCAGTACCTGTACAGCAGAGCTCAGACTAGGGAAGTGAGAAGCAGAACAAGGTGCCAATCAGTTGTTCAGTATAAGTACCTACATTTAGCTTGGTATCAGTCTCTTGCAGTACCTGTACAGCAGAGCTCAGACTAGGGAAGTGAGAAGCAGAACAAGGTGCCAATCAGTTGTTCAGTATAAGTACCTACATTTAGCTTGGTATCAGTCTCTTGCAGTACCTGTACAGCAGAGCTCAGACTAGGGAAGTGAGAAGCAGAACAAGGCACCAAGTAGTTGTGCAAGGAGTATGCTGACAGGAAAAGAAGAACAAAGATTCCTGCTGCTGCTTCTCCATTCACTCTCCAGTGACAGTCTGGGGGAAGGACATGACCTGCAGCAGAGGAAAATCAGGTCTGCCAGACTGTGTTTCTTTAAAGCACCCATCAGCACGCCAAGGCTAAAAGGTGCCCATACACCTTACAATTTATCTGCAGATTTTCTGTGGTCAGATGGAAAAAGTGCAACAGATTGACCCAGGTGGAGATTCCTCCATCCACACAGTTAAGTGTAGATGGAGGAATCTGTTGCACCTTTTCCATCTGACCACAGAAAATCTGCAGATAATTGTAAGGTGTATGGCCAGCTTAACACTGAAGGGCGCTTAAAAGGTGTTAGGAAAGCTGTTCATAGTTTGTCAAATGCTTTGTAAATGCTTTCTGATGCCCCTCAGGCTAGTATTTAGAGACAACAATCAAACAACCATTTGCTTAGGGCTTATGCACCCTCGCAACCTTGACAAGCATACTGCCAACTTCAACAAAGTAAGTCAAAATACAAAGAAATGTTGCATCAGGCCTCATACACACGGGCAGAAACAAAACAAAACAAAAAAAGGCAGTTTCATCTTTTTATACGTCTCTGAACAAAGCTCTATTTCAGCCAAGTGTCCATGAACATTGTGTATCTAGATCACTATTTTAGAGCAGTGTTCAGGGACATAAAAAAAAAAAAAAAAGCAAATAGTTCCGGTTGCCCCAGAAGCCCCATGGCAATCCGGCCCAGCTACAATCAGGCAGAGGTGACCGTCTAACCAGGCAATTGGCCGCCTGATTAGAGAGCCGCGTTTGCTGTGCCCCCAGCTGCCAGAAGACTCTCCAGACCCCTGGAGCCTGCACTGGTCACCTGAGACCCCCACTGCCCACCTGAGAGCTTCAATGACCACCTGAGAAACCACATTGACCCCCTTGAGCCTGCAATCGCCACATGAGAGCAGGAAAACAAGCTCAGGACTCCCACTGATTCTGCATTACGGTGAGTTGTACAAATACGTCATGTATTACAATGTAATAATAATAGAAATAAAGTGCACAATAAATGCGCTTGAATCATTTCCAAACAATCACCCCTCACCGCCTTCCCTGGTCCGTGACATTTTCTTCCACGAAACCAGCGCTAAAAAGGTTGGGGACCAGTGATCTAGCCCAGTGGTAAGCGGGCCACGGTAAAATTATTAAACGTTGACCGGTCCGCGGCGATAAAAAGGTTGGGGAGCACTGATCTAGCCAATAGAATAAGTATATGCATATGCATGCGAGTAATGCATCTTTTTACGCTGGATTTTTCTGCTAGTTTCTTCGAGTGTGCATGGGCCCTTATTGTGTGATCCAGCTCTTAAGATGTGATTGTTTTCATCAAGGGCTGGGCAGCCTTGGCACTTCATCTGTGGTGAAACTAAGTTTCCTTTACGCCTCTGGGAGTCATGCCTGTGGCTGTCAGACTCTTGCAATGCCTCAGAGGACTTGTAGTTCCACAACTGTTGGAGTGCCGAGGTTGCCCACCTGTTTTGAAACAGAACTCCGGGCAAATAAAATCTTAACCCTTGCAGTGGGGCTACACCAGCGCTATAAGGGTTAAGTGCTCGTTTGGTCTAGGGAGCTAAACTAACAGTTTAACTAACTTACCTGAACCACAATCCTGGCTGGCTATTAGACCACTCCCTTCACCTTCGCTCATCCTTTTCTCCTGTGATGGAATGTCCCTTGTATAGAATGTGATGACTCACTGGACCTTAGACCGCTGGAGCGGAGGGGAAACAAGGCTGAAAGGAGTGGTCTAACAGCCAGCCGGGATCATGGTTCAGGTGAGTATAACTTTATTTTAGCTCCCTAGACAAAATGAGCACTTAACCCTTACAGTGTGGGGGTAGCCCAACAGCAAAGGTTAAGATTTAGTTTGCCTGCAGTTCTGCTTAAATGATAAACTTTTATAAGTATTTAAAGCCGCATATTAAATATGAGAAAAAATGATTTAAAAATACAATTTCTTTTTTTTAAATCTAGCCACAGATAAAAAAAAACTATAATCCAATTACAATCTATTGATTAACTAACAGAAAATGGACATAACCATTCACAGCTGCTAACATTTTAAATACATTTATACAGACCCTAAGCCCTGATTTACAACTCAAAGCTCCAAAACACTCAACAACCTAAATCCTATGCTTTTGAACTGTGCCTGCTCATATATGAGCACTCGGGCACCTGTAGCTCAAAAAGGTACATGAGCCCCTTCTGAAGCAGAATAGTGTTTTTGGCCCCATAGACAGTGGCGGAACTACCAGGGTCGCAGAGGTCGCGACCGGGCCCTGGAGTTCGGCCACTTGGAGGGGGCCCAGGACAGGAGGAATGGGCCCCTGGTGACCGCTGATTACCAGTCCCGGGACCTCTTCCTCCCGTCCTGGGCCCTACATGCTTCACGCTGCTCCCCTCATCTTGTTCTGGGCGCAGCGTGAACCATCATCAAGCCGGGCAGCAGCCAATGAGAGGGAGCGGTGTAATCCCCGCCCCCTCATCACACAGAACTGCCGCCGAGTGCCGAATAGAGCTGCTGCGGACACGAAGGGGGAGACAGGGAGCTGGAAGTATCAAGGAAGGTGACATGGGGTCCGGGAGCGGAACGGAATGAAGGGTGAGATAATGGGGAGATGAAAGAGGACAGTGGTTTGTTTTTTTCTTTCCGTGTCTAAATTTTGTTTAAAAAAAAAAATCTAATGTGTTTCTTCTTGGGGGCGGCGGCCCTTCATGGATTCTTGCATGGGGCCCTGAGGTCACTAGTTACGCCACTGCCCATAGACTTCAATAGATTGTAATCTAAACACAAGAAAAACACAGACAAATTAGTGTTTTTTAAGACTAAACAGCCTTCTCCTAGTACCTACCAACATCTTGAGATTTTTGTTGTACAACGCCATTAACCTGTCAATTTTCACCCAACTAGACAAAAATTTTCTAGCCTGCTTGAAAGACAAAAATCTGCCAGTTGTACAGTAATTGCAGTTGTGCACAGCCCATTAACTTGCTGATTTTCGTCCGAAAATGTGATCGCAGACAAAAATCCCCAGGTAATTGTAAGTTGTATGGCCACTTTTAGGCTACTTTCAGGGGGCCCAACGTTGATTATACGGTCAGGTTGTAATGTGTTGCAGTAAAATCTTCGGAAAGAAATACATTACAATGCCATCAAGATAAATGTACTAAACACTGCTGGAACTTATTCAAAAGTCAAATATCACTTTAAAAAATAACAATATACAAAAATCAATAGTGAGTAATGTGCCCAAAACAGAACAAGCTGAAATACGGAACAGCTGGCAACTATTTGGTATAAGCAAGTTATCACAAAGAATATATTTTCTGTAAATTAAACTGAGTTTACAGAGCTCAGAGAATACGTATAGTTTTATACAATCCTTACATATAAAAGAATACAAAATGTAGTGCAGCTAATCCACATACTACAAATAATGGTTTTCATATCGTTAATGCAAATAGTGAAATACAGCACAGTACCTCTCCCCCAGAAAAACAACAACATCCTCCAACAGGACTGTCGAATTTCGACTTCTTCTTTCCAGCTGCAATAGAACTATTTCCTTATTGACAGAGCTATATAAACCCTCCTCACAGTTTCATCCTTGTGATGTCAGAACACGGAATAACAAAGTGTCCACGTTTCAGTTTCATTTTCTCATAAACAAAACCTTTCAGCTGAGCCAAATCATAGTTAACTCATTCCATCACCGGTATTGAATTCAGCCAACTTGCAAAACTGAAATCAAACACATCATTGCTGTAAAAAGTAATTTCTTCACAAGCATAGTTAGGACTTTGACATCCAACCTGTACAAAATAATGACAGCTGGTTGAAGCCGCCACTGTACGAGTGTGTATACAAATGACAGCGTAAGCCTCTGTACACGGCGGTAGGCGTAGCTGGTCTACATTGGAGGATATGTCTACAGCTCGATACAGAAGCATGTGCTGTCATTGGTATATGTACCTGTACATCTGCGGCTTCAGCCAGCCTGCCATTGATTTGTAAAGGCTGGGTGCACACAGCAAAACAGTGCGTCGGTCACTCCTAGCCAAATATGCCAGGATGTGTCTGCAACCCCCCCTGCCAATCCCTGCACTGGCTTCCAATAGCCCAAAGGAGACAATTCAAAATATTAACGACTTACAAAGCCATCCACAACTCTGCCCCCGGCTATATCTCAAACCTTGTCTTAAAATATCACCCTAACCGTCCCCTCCGCTCTTCAAAAGACCTCCTGCTTTCCAGCTCTCGTCAACTCCTCCCATGCTTGCCTCCAGGACTTCTATAGTTTCTCCCGTCCTCTGGAACTCTTTACGCCAACCTGTCCGACTATCTTCCACTCTGACTGCCTTTAGGCCCTTGGTTCTCAACTGGTGAGTCGTGACCCAAAAGTGGGTCGCGACCCCGTGTTCAGTGGGTCACTGCATGTCTTCCACTTTTCTAGTTTTGAGGCTGCTTAGCCTCCCCATAGTGCAGCACCGTCCATTCTTACACCGAGCAGCCATTCAAAATATGCTGCCCGGCGCTGAGTGTTGACTTGTCGAGGTGGGGTGGGCTGGGGGTATGGCTGCAAGGGAGTTCCACCCATACATGCATGGCTTACAGCTCCCTCGCATGTCCTGTAGAGGTGCCTGGACTGAAGCGACATCACATTCTGCCTCCCGGAACCTCTACAGAGCGCGCATAGGAGCTGTACAAGCAATGCACATAAGTGTAACAACTCTGCTATGCAAGCCTAGGCAGTTGGACTTCATGGACTAATGTCTTTATTCAACCTCAAATACTATGTAAATACTATGATGCAGTGGTGTGAGTAGAGAGGACCTCTGTGAAAGTACTGCCCCAATGGCTGAATGGGAGGCGTCGACCTCCAGCACATAGTGGTGTAGAGGATCGGGGATCTTGAGAATGGGGGCAGTCACGAATCGATCTTTCAAGGTTTCGAAAGCTCGTTGAGCCTCTGCCTCCCAACAGTATCTGGTCTTTGAACTGGTCAGCTTAGTCAGTGGTTTGACCACTGCAGAAAAGTTAGAAATACATTTCCTGTAGAAATTTGCGAAACCTAGAAAACGCTGAAGCGCTCTTCTGGTATGTGGAACAGGCCAGTTCTTGATACACTCTACCTTTGACTGGTCCATGTGGATACCTTTTGGGGATATGACGTATCCCAGGAAAGGTATAGTGTCGGTCTCAAAGACACATTTCTCAAGTTTGGCGTATAGTCTGTGGGCCCTCAGTCTGGACAGAATCCATCTGACATGCTTTCGATGGTCTTGAATATTCTCTGAATAGACGAGAATATCGTCGAGGTATATCACTACACACACGTCTAATAGATCCCTGAAAATGTCGTTAATAAAACATTGAAACGTTGCGGGTGCATTCCACAATCCAAAAGGCATCACAGTATATTCGAAAAGGCCGTACCTTGTTCTGAAAGCGGTCTTCCACTCATCACCCGACCTCATGCGGATGAGGTTATATGCTCCCCTCAGGTCCAGTTTAGTAAAAACCTTGGAAGTTTGTAGACGTTCAATCAGTTCGGGAATCAAAGGAAGAGGGTATCGGTTTTTGGTAGTGATGTTGTTTAAGCTGCGGTAATCGATGATGGGTCGCAGGCTCTTATCTTTGTTCCGTACAAAGAACATGCCTGCTCCCAATGTGAGGTAGAGGGTCGGATGAACCCTTTCTGGAGATTCTCGTTTAGGTATTGCTTGAGGTGCTCCAATTCGGGTTGAGAGAGAGGGTATATCCTCCCAGTAGGTAGGCTGCTGCCTTGAATCAGATCAATCGGGCAGTCATATGACCGGTGTGGAGGTAAGGTTTCTGCCATCTTCTTGCTAAATACGTCTGAAAATTCCTTGTAGTGTACCGGTAGGGACTGACAGGAAAGCTGTAAGAGAGGAGTGAACGGAAAACAAGTCTGTCTGCAGTACTCCGAATCTAGGCAAAAACTGTTTAACCTCCAGCAAATAGATGGTTTGTGGGTTCTCAGCCAAGGAAGACCCAGAATGACAGGGAATGTCGATGACGCGATCAGGTCAAATGAAAGCCATTCCGTGTGATTCTGGGGCCCATTGACCAGAAGAGGCTGGGTCTGATAAATAATCGGTCCGGAGGTTAAGGTAGAACCATCGACAAAACTGACAGAGACAGGGGTTGCTTTTTTGCAATAAGGAATTTTATTACGGTGTACAAGTTGAGCATCGATAAAATTCCCGCTTGCTCCTGTGTCCACCATGGCTTCAACGTTGACCCTTTGGTGTTCCCACTGTAATATAAGGGAAAGATATAAGTAATGTTGAGGAAGGTAAGGAGTAGATTTGTTCGTTAAGAGGTGGTCTCGTCTTACCTCCAGATTCTTTCTTTATGGATGGACAATCGTCTACGGTATGTTCCAGTGAGGCAGAGTATAGACAGAGCTTCAAGGTCCTCCTCCTGTCTTTCTCAGCCTGGGTTAGAGGCCCCCTAATGGTTCTGATCTCCATTGGTTCCTCCCCTGTGGGTGGGGTTGGTCGTCGAGGAGTGGTTGGAATGCCCGTCGCCTTCTCCACCCTCGGAGACTCCTGTCGATAGTAATAGCCCTTTGCATTAGGGCTTCCAGGGTTTGTGGAAGATCTGACCTGGCTAATTCATCCTTATGGGGTTCGGATAGCCCTAGTCTGAATTGGTTTCTCAGGCTGAGATCGTTCCATTCGGCTTCTCTGGCCCATCGCTTGAATTCGACTATGAAGTCTTCAACCGGTCTCCGTCCTTGTTTAAGACCGCGGATTGCCAATTCAGCGGTTATCTGTTTACCAGGGTCCTCGTAGAGGAGGTTCATGGCTTCTAGGAATTGGGGATAGGAATTGAGGATCGGATCCTCTCTCTCGACATAGGTAGTTGCCCAAGCTCTGGGCTCACCCCTAAGGTACGAGATGGTGGTGAGGACCTTTACTCTATCAGTGGGGTACGTCTTGGGTCTCAGCTCAAACAGTAACCTGCATGCGTTTGTGAACTCCCTGTACAAGCTTCTGTCCCCAGAGGATAGGTCAGGTGGACTGACTTTTGGTTCGGGACCCTGATTATTCCCCCCTTGTGGATTCAGGAGAGCTCTAAGGTCTTGATTCGCCAATCTTAAGTCTTTTACATGCTGTGTGAGAGCGTCCATGCGTTGGGTGAGAGACCAGATATGGTTTGCCATCTCAGCTGGATCCATTTTCCTGGGGTCCTACTGTTCTGTAACAACTCTGCTATGCAAGCCTAGGATCTCAACTGCGGAGTGTGAACCTCACGGTCTGTTCAGTAAGTGGTCTCGGCTTTTAACTCTCTCATCAATTTAGAGAAGTGTTTGAGACCTGTCACATCATTCAGAACCGTGGTATCAAGGGTTGTAGTTACTAGAGGTGACAGGGTTAACTTTGTGGAAGACACCCGGTGGTGAAGTATGGTACTGAGCTCTACTGCTTAATCCACTATTCCCCACTAGGATACATGAATCAATTCACAGATGGTATATGGAACAGGTACTAATGCAAGTTGTATATAAGGTCAGATCCTCAAAGAGTCAAGTTTTAACATTGAATAACACTACTTGGTGATAGTAAATGATCTAACAGTCAATATTCACACAGTTCCTTATATATGATTTAACTAGTCCAGGTTAAGCAATCGCATATGTTATGGGTAATGGGGGTATAGTCCCAGATACTTGCGGTTGTGAAGCCTGCTGCTGCTGTCACTCCTAGTGGGTCTTTGACTGAGTGATGCTTGGCTCCTGGGTGTCAGTCCCCCTGTGTTGGGTGGTAGAGGAACGAGGCTCCTTCAGAGTGGGGTTATAGCTCGCTGCTATGGGTCCGCCTGATCGGT